TGTCTCTTTCTGTCCTGGAATCTCAATCATATGTAAATTATTCCTCTAGTAAGGTTCAACATAAATCTTAGGGTTTCCTCAGATTTTTGGGGGTCTTTTTTCTGATTGTTCATTTAGGAGATGAATATTGAAAGGTTTTTCTTCAAGCTCAGTAATTCAGTCTTCCCTTGAACTCTCTTTGCCCTTTGAGTGCTTTATCTATTTCTGAAGTCTTAGTATTATTCTTCTGGCTTTCTGCTTGCTGTTATTGTATGGTTCTCCTTTTTCAGTGTGTTTCCTGAATTTTTCATGTTTTCCTTGATTTCATCTGGAGTTGTCTCAATTATCCTCTCAATCTGTTGAAGTTGTCTAAATAGCATTCTTTTATAATCCTTATCAGGGAGCTCTGGTACCATTTCTAGTATATATTCTTTGCCTCTGTATTATAGTCACTGGAGTCCTGGTGTGGTGCTGTAGGATAAGCACTGGTTAGTTAGTACTACTAACTAAACCACAAATAGGGAACTTTTTTTCTGCCAAAATTTATGGCCTCATTAGTGGGTCATACAAAATTATCAATTTAAGAATTAGTCTGCTGCTTGCAGAATATGCCCTTTGATTGTTTAAATAATTATATATTCCTGAGTATTTTTGTGTACATCTCCCCCACCCCACCCCACCCCCCAAAAAGAAAAAAAAACAGAGGGAATGGAAGCAAATACTGTTGAATGTTGATGCACGGAGGAGATTGTAATCATTGCAATGAAACTATGGTGTAAACCCGATGCTCTCCCAGGTAAACTATCATTCAATTCACAATAAAAAAAAATAAAAAAAAGAAAAGAAAAAAGAACTAGCCCGCTGTATTTAGTTAAACATTGAATTAACTCATTCCTAATATGACAGCTTGAATTGCAGTTGCTTTGGCAGGGCCAGACCAAATGATTTCACAGGCTTTATACGGACCATACGGAGCTCTGATAGCATAGTGGTTACAAATCCGGCTGGGAACTGCAAAGTCAGCAGTTTGAAGCTGTTCCGCCAGAGAAAGATGAGGTTTCTGCTCCTGTAAAGATTTACGGCCTCGGAAACCCTGTGCAGGGTCACTATGAGTTTCAACTGACTCCACGGCACATAACAACAACATATGGACCATGTTGTTGTTGTTGTTATGTGCCGTGGAGTCAGTTTGGACCCATAGGGACCCCGAACAGGGTTTCCGAGGCCATAAATCTTTACAGGAGCAGAACGCCTCATCTTTCTCCCGCGGAACAGCTGGTAGTTTCGAACTGCTTACCTTAAGGTTCGCAACCCGATTCGTAACCACTACGCTATATGGACCATAGGAGTCCTGGTGTGGCGCTGTGGGTTAATGTGCCGGACTGCAAAGCCGTTTGAACTGCCAAGTTGGCAGTTCAAGCTCACCAGCCACTCCTCGGAAACCCTATACAGGATCGCTATGGGTCGGAACCGACTCGACGGCATTTAACAACAACAACAACATATGGACCATGGTTCGGACTTTCCCCACCCCTGAACTAAAAGGTCAGTGGTTCATACTCACTAGCCACTCCTTGGAAACCCTATACAGAGTTGTTAAGAGTTGGAACTGCTTCAATGGCATTTAACAACAATTGTGATCTCTTGTTTGAGGTACTTGGTTTTGTTTCTTAGTATATGCTGAAATTGTCTGTCTTCTCTGAGACATTGTGGTGACATAGTTAATTGATGATTATATATTGCTGTGTCCTCCGGCTCTCACCCCCTGCCTTCTGGTGGCTGTGGTAGAGACTGGAAGTGTGAACATGGTTTTCTGTTCACTGCTCATATAGTTTAGTTGAAGGTGGGCTCACAAGCCTCCAGAAGCTGAGGTGCTATGCTTGGCACCTAACCCCAGGCAGAACACAGGCTTTGTAGGTGGGGTGCCACGGTCATTGGTTTCTGAATTGGTGAAGTCAGGGAATGGTCACATCCGCATCTACCAGGATGGCAAAGGAACAAGGGAGAACTGTATTCCCTTGCTGCCAACCTCCAGCAGTGACTGTGCATGCAGGCTTCTGTATCAACAGCCACATGTAAAAGTTCAAGATGGCTGTGCTTCTCCATGCCAGAGCAGTCTGGTAGTCGTTTTTTCTTTCTCTTTCTCATGGCTCCTGTTAAACTTCCTCTTCCAGTTGATATTCAGTCCACCTTTCTGTTCTATCCTTTGACACGTAGAGTTCTAGTATTACCATCTGTATCAATTTCACTGTGTTTCCATGTCTTTATTGTATAGGATCAGCTCAGTCTATCTGCCTATTTTGCCATCTTACCCCCAAAAGGGGTTTGTTTTGTGAGGAGACAGGAAGTGGTTACAACACAAGTTCTTAATTTGAGGTATTTGCAGATCACTTTTCATTTGCCTGTATTTATGCTTCACAACGATAATATATTATATGAGCATCCCTTCCAGCCCCTTACTGTCCAATTTTTGTTAATCAGTCATGAAAGCTTCATCCATAGTCTGAATTGAATAAAATTTTTGTATCTATAGGAGCTCTGGTAGCGTAGTGGTTACGAATCGGGCTACGCACCGCAAGCTGTTCCACAGGAGAAAGATGAGGCTTTCTGCTCCGGTAAAGATTTACAGCCTCGGAAACCCTGTACAGGGTCGCTATGAGTCGGAATCGACTCCACGGCACATAACAACAATATGCAAAAAGTACGCTGCTATTTTCATAGTACTTAACAAGTACTAATGTAGAGACTTCTGGCAAGAAGGTATACTAGGCAGATGCACTACATGGATCCACTAGAAAACAGATTTTTTGTTGTTGTTAAGTGCTGTCAAGTCAGTTCTGACTCACAGTAACTCTGTATGCGGTTTCCAAGGAGAGGTAGCAACCTTGCGGTCTAGGGCTTATCTTACAGCATCACCCTTATCCACCCCCAGCACAGGTAGTTCAGAACTATGTGGTTGGGAGCCATGCCAGTGTGAGTTAGGGGCTATGCCAGTGTGAGCTGGGGGCTGGCTGTGCTGTTTTGGTGTGCCACTTCGCTGCCTGAATTTAGGTGGCTCTGTTCCAGACCAACAAAACCCGCAGAGACACCAGACCCTGACTTAGTTCTGTATGGGGTTTCTGAGAAGTGTCTGGAGGGTTAGCAGTTCAGTGCTTATTCTACAGCATCACACCAGGACTCCTTTATTACAGAAGCATGGAACAAAATATCCATACATATGCAGTCTGGGGTTTGTCTACATACAAGTATTAGAAGGTAAACTAATTAGGACTGTTTTAGTTCCTCCTTACCCCTAACTGAAGGAGCTCTGGTAACACAGTGGTTACGAGTCAGGCTGCTAATTCCATGGTCAGTAGTTTGAAACTACCAGCAGAGAAAGATGACATTTTCTGCTCCCTTAAAGATATACAATCTTGGAAACCCTATACATGGTCACTATGGGTTGGAACTGACTCCACAGCACATAAACACCACCACCCCTAAATGCCATATCACATAATAAATATATCCATATGTATTTATATTAAATATTCCCAGGAAAGTTCAGCTGACTTGGAGTAGACACCAATCTTTACACACACACACACACACACACACACCAAAAGCATCATTAAATATATGTATTTATTTTTATTAGTGTTTTGGGCTCCGTAATTTTTTTCCCCAGGCTTAAAAATTTTGCTTCAGAACCGTAGACAATGCTGATAGTGTTTAAAGTGTCCCTGAAGCTAATTTGAAAAGCATGTTGCTTTATCCCTTTTTTCTACATCTTTCTGTCAAACTGTAAATGGTTACGATCTGTTTATTCCATTTTCTCATTGTTCTTAATTTAATAAAATCTCAAACCTTAAAATGGCTTCGCAGTAATAGAAATATTCCTAAATTCCCTAGTCCAAGAAAATGGCCACAATATAAGTAGGTCACAGTCATTTAAGGACAAGGAGATTTTTGTTGTACTTGTTTTTAAGAATTGATCTTCGTGAGAGTAGTGATTTGTGTGCTGGTGAGGGGTAAATTATGACGGGGCTGCTTCCTATTTCCTACAAGGATGCTGTTGTTAATTATATAACAAATAAGTCATTTTTGGGTGGTAAAAATTTGAGGCTCCAATGACTTTTTCAAAGCCACGCTATCTTTTTCATCAGGGAACATTTCTTCCGGTACTTCAAAAGAAAACGATGCTTGAAAAACCACAACGTTTGAACAGCTTTTAGGAAGCTCTATGAGTTCTGCGTAGAAATCCTCACAGCAGTAGCTTCACTATTACTTAAGGAAAGTCAGAACCTTGCTCCGGGATCAGGCATCGGAAGCACTGAGTCATTAGATTCAGTGTATCTTAAAAGGCAGGCTGCCTATGGTTAATGAGAATCCAAGCTGAAAATCTGGCAGCTTGAGCCAAAGTTTTCATAATGATTCTCCACTTGGTTTTATGGCATTGTCGTGTGCGTCCGTCAGCACCGCCCTCGGGACAAAGGGTGGCGGCGGGTCAGGGACATGAGCTGCAGTAAGAGAAGGCTATTTGTGTGGTCTGTTTACAGGTTACTTGCTGGCTTTCAACACCAAGTCCTTTCTCCACCTCTCGGGAGAACCTCCGACCTTAGGTCAAACAGAAGCCTGGATGGCTCACAGGAGCCAGCAAATCAGCTTCCTCAGGACCCAGACTCAGGAATTCCGGCCGCAGAGACCAGCACCACGTGAACCCACCGACTCAGGCTACACTCTGCATTCTGTTTGGTGAAGGGCGGTCGCAGAAAATGGTCCAGGCAACGCCTCTGCTGCCAGCCAATGAAGAGCAGAGACCGCGTCGGGACCTTTGCTGATTGGACCGAGATGTCTCCGCCCCGCGGCGAACAATCGCAGCCCTCCCGGCCGGCTAATAAAGTCTCAGCCCCAGGGCCGCTGTTGTCAGCCTTTTGTGCATTCTCGATGGGTTCATCTTGAGTGCCTAGTCTCTTTGCTTTTGTAGTTCTATCTGCAATCCAGACGCCTTAAATTCTGAATTTTTATCTTTCTAGTTCATTTCCTCTTTTCATCAGTACCTCAACATGCAGAAAAAAGACGCCTCCTTACATGGTTTCCTGCCTAACTTCCAACATTTCGCCACGCAAGCCATCCATGTGGGCCAGGAACCGGAGCAATGGAACTCTCGGGCTGTGGTGCCCCCTATCTCACTGTCCACCACGTTCAAGCAGGGAGCGCCCGGCCAGCACTCGGTGAGCTGGGTCTGGGGCGGCCAAGGATGGAACGGGAAAAGAGAGACGGTTTATAAATATTAAAAAGGCACGCAAATAATTTATATATATCAATTAGGAAGGCATCTCAAAAGGCTATTTCCTATAGCTCCTTGCCGTAAAGTTTTGTATTTGATGACCCAATGATCTTATCTTTTGATAAGCCAGACTGCAAGCAGCAGTTCGTACAACTTGTCAAACAGGACTGAAATTCATGTAATTTTGCCAAATTTGCACTCGAAAACGGTCCTAACTAGAATTCCTTGAGCAGCAAAAATTATAAAAGTAAAAATACAGAAAGTTTAAGGTTCTGATAACTCTCCTGTAATTAAGATCGGTCCCAGTAGTTGTATTCAGTTGTTGAGAGTTAGTGAGCATTTACTGGATGCTAGATACATTTGTTATGGTTGTTGTTAAGTGTCTTTGAGTTTGTTATGACATAGTTAAATGTATTATATCCTGTGTATTACATGTATTTTTTCATATACTAACAACAACCCTCGTCTGAGCTGCACTCATTTTTCCAAGAAAAAAGCTGAGATTTAAAGTTAAGTAACTAGGCCTAAGCCCACATTGCTAGTAAGTGATGAAGCTGGAATTCAAACCCTGCTCTAGAACTCCCCCTATGTCCTTCCACCTAGACACTAAGCTACACTGTTCAAACTCCAATAATGCTAGCAATAATCTAACCCATTGCATCATTTAAGCAATGTGGTTTAGTGATTAAGTATATAAATAATGTAGTCAGAGGACCTAGGTATGAATTTTGACACCACCTCTTCTGAGCTGGGTGACCATTTAATGATAGTACCTATGGCATAAATTTTGGAAACGTGATGGCTCTGTAGGACTGCGAACCACAAGGTCAGCAGTTCGAGCCCACCATTCACTCCTCGGCCGAAAGATGAGACTTTCTGCTCTACAAATATTTGTAACCTTGGAAACCCTATTCAGGGGCTATGAGTTGGAACTGACTCCATGGCATTTAACAACAGCAGCATCATGACATAAATTATTGAAATGAATATGTAGTTGCATGATCCCTAAGTGCTCAGTGGTAGAATGGTATTTAACAACCAAAGGTAATAAGCATTTTTCACAGAAAGGGAAATTTACCAAGTCACACATAATAAGTGACTATGTCAGGCAGAGATTCAGTCCCCTTAGTTGAGCGATCCCCCTTTGTGAATCACATAAATAAACTCCACCCCCCTCTGCTTTTTTTTTTTTTTTTTTTTAAGGATCTTGAAGTATTTAAAAGTTGTTGAGATTCAAGATATCAGTCAAACTGGGTAGGTCCTGACCTTGATTGTGTTTCAAAAACCTCTTTCTTGTGTTTATCTAAATCCAGTAAAATTTTTAGCCTGAGCCCTTTGGTTTTTGAGGTACAGATCTTTTTTTTTTTTTTTTTCAATTATTGGAAAGCTGCAATTAAAAAAAAATCTATTCAACAAGGACTATTTACAGAATCTCATTGTTGTTATTCTTAAATGCTATCAAGTTGGTTTCAACTCATAATGACCCTGTGTAAGGTTTCCAAGAAGCAGTTGGTGGGTTTGAACCTCTGACTTTGCATTTAACAGTCTAGTGCTTATCTTACAGTGTCACACCAGGACTCCTAGTGTAAGATTTGTTGTTGTTAAGTGCTCCCAGTCGGTTCTGACTCATAGTGATCCTGTATAGGGTTTCCAAGGAGAGGATGAATTTGAACTGACAGCCTTGTGCTTTAAATCAACCCTGCAATCTAGTGCTTATCCTACAGCGCCACAAAAGTGTGGAACTGAATACAAAGAATAACCATTTAGTCATTATATTATTAATGATTAAATGCTTTCATAAAGTCATCAGGGTTAGTAAAACCCACAAGACCATACTTAATACCTTAAAAAAAAATCAGTTAATAGCACTAAAGGAAATTTGAAGAATTGAATGGTAATCCTCTAATTTTCTTGTCTCTTTTGGAGAGTGATTGAGTGGGCCTGAGAGTGGAGATTTGTCACTGAGCCTTCAAATACTTTTACCACCCTCTGCAAAGTTAAATATTTGCCATAAATATTTATAGAAACATCAGTACCTTTCTGTGGCAGTCACCATATGAATGCAAATAGTTTTTTCTATCTGGAGGGAATAGATGCAAATACTGGCCAAGAGGTAGTGGTGGGGCATGATGAGAATATCCTGGAGACCTTTACAATGTATCTATTCAGTTTGGCAAGGAGCCATCCATGGTGGCTTAGTTAAAGGTAGAGCTCTTGGCTGCTCACCCACTCTGGGATAATGATGAGGCTGTCTGTTCCTGTAAAGATTTATAACCTTGGCAATCCTATGGGGCTGCTCTCCGCTGTCCTTTAGGGTCACTGTGTGTCGGAATTGACTAGTGGCAATGGGTTTGACTTTGGTTTTAGTTTTGTTGTTCAGTTTGATAAAAACATGGAAACAAAGTAACACAAGATTTTGTTATTAATACTAATACTTTGGAGCTTTTGAATCAGAAATCTGGGTCGAGAGCTACTGTATTTTGTTATGTGAGGTACATAACACACACATAGCAATTGCTGACTTTTGGCAATCCCACATGTTTTAGAATAGAAACCATAAGGTTTTCAATGGCTGTGACCTTTTTTTTTTTTTTTCCTTAAATGATTTATTGTGAATTATGTGATAGTATACATGGGAGAACATTAGTTTTACATTCATTCTATCATATATTGTCTCATTGCCATGGTTACAATCCCCTCCATTCAATCCTTCCCCGGTGCCCCCCTGGTCTTCAGCACACAGTCACTCTCCCTCTCTGGGTCTAGAGTCTCCAGCTGCTCCATAACTCCACATCATCATCTCTGGCTCCATTTCAGGTATCACTGCGTCTCTGGGTAGGGTCCCACTCTCTGCTGTTCTCCCTTGATGGTCCTAGGGACCTCTGCTCCTAGACTGAAAAGTTAATCACTCCCCTCCTTGCTATAAAACGTCCACCTTTACATTTCCAACCCTCACAGTCAGTCCTGATAAAAATTATCCACTATTGTATCACAAGAGACCCGTTTGTTTCATTGCATCAGCCCTGCCTAGTCAGATTGAATACTACTCACTGGAGATTCTATCTTCCTCCAGGCCCTCTGGGTCTAGGTTCCCTCTTGAAAGTTTATAAGCCAGTCACTTCTTGCCTTTCTAGCTTCCCACCCCCCATTTTCGGTAGCCAATGTCCAAGTTGCCCATCCCTGTCTACTCTTTGTGTGGATGGGGTTGGAATGATTCTTGCTGTAAGGACTTGTTCCCTCTTTTGAGCAACTGCTTCCATAGGTGTAGGGGCTGTGACCTTTTGCGAGCAGATTGCCAGACCTTTGCTTTGAGACACCACTGAGTGGATTTGAACTGTTATCCCTTCAGTTAGTAGCCTAACACATAAACACTTGTACCAATGAACTCCTTTATAAGAAGCAGGGGGAGAAAATTATAGAACTTTTTGTAAGTGTTCAAATCCTAGGTTTGATTCCGACCCAGACATTCCTAGGATACTGTAACATTTGGTTTTTCAGTTTCATCAAAACAGGTCACAATGATAAAATAAGATGACTATATTAGCACAACTAGTATAGCATCTGGAGTCATGGTATGGCACAGTAGAATAAGCACTGGACCACGAGGTCTGTTTGAGCCGCAAGATTGGCGGTTCAAACCCACCATCTGCTTCTCAGAAATATGAGTCGGAACTGACTCTATGGCACTTAACAACAACAGTAGTACAGTACCATACACATCAAAGGAGCATAATGGAAAAATTAAAAAGTATGTGGAGTTGCCTTGCTAAGAATTACTCCCTATCACTTTTGTAGAGCCCAAATTTGAACTTTGAACATTTGAAGGGTCTGCTCATTTTTTCCTGTTGCATGCTAAACATAGCTCTGACTTCTTTCTTAGGAACTGAAATGCAGGTTGGAATTAGTTTCTCTGTTAACTGATGCAATACTCTTTTTCTGAATGGCCCTAGATTAATGAATGGGTAAAGGTGAGTCTGACAAAATAGTAATACTAGTAATAAAGACAGTTACCAAGCAGCTACCATTTGCCAGATACCTTACAGAGCATTTGTTATACTTTATCCTGTTTTTTTTTTTTTTTTTTTCCAAACAATTTTACACTGTATTAGAACACTTCAAAAAGTTTGTGGAGAAATGGAATTAAATTCCCACACACTTTTTGATGCTATCATTCTCATTTTACAGATGTTGAGATTGGCTCTTATAAACATTAAATAACTTATCTACTGGCACACAATTCTTAAGTGGCAGACATTGAATTGTGATCTAGTTTGGTTGACTTTTGAGCCTCATCACCTCATTACAACCACAATACTGCCATGGTTCTAATGGCATGACAAGTTATGACTAAGTACTAGAATATCATGATAGCAGGGTGAACCGCAGAGTAGTTGTGCAACTGTCTTTGTTGGGACTTTGATATTAAACTTGAATCTCTTAGAATGAACTTTAGCTTCTGTTTTTCAGGGTTTTGAATATAGCCGGTCTGGAAATCCCACCAGAAATTGCTTGGAAAAAGCAGTGGCAGCATTGGATGGGGCTAAATACTGTAAGTAATTTATATTGCAAATATAAAGCTTAACTTCTTAAATGCATAAGGAAAATCAGAGACACAGATTATAGAATTGGAAGAATATGCAGATTGTTGTAATTAATTGCCATCATGCCAACTCATAGTGCCCTTTGTGACAGAGTAGAACTGCTTCATAAGATTTTCGTGGCTGTAATCTTAACAAAAGTAGATAGTCAGGCCTTTTTTTCTATGAGACTACTGGGTGGATTCGAATCACTAACCTCTAGGTTAGCAATCAAGTGCAAACTGTTTGTACCACTTGGGTATCTTAAACTAAGATTGTTGTTGTTGTCAAGTAGGTTCAGACCCATAGTGACCCTATATTGGGTTTCCAAGGAGCAGCTGGTGGGTTTGAACCACTGACCCTGTGGTTCAACCTGACCTTGCAGTCCATTATTCTGAAGCACCACACCAGGACTCTAAAATAAAAATTAGCTAATTTAAAACTCTTATTTCATTCAAATCAATTCATACATAAACATTGTATCGTTTGCTTAGGATCCCATGATGATTTAAGGTGCATAGTGTAATTTGTCAGGTAAAGACAAATACCAATAGGGTTAAAAGGCAGCATTTACCATTTAGAATTATGTAAGTACACTCATCTTCTGAAGTTTTCAGTATAAATAGAAAAATATTAATACAGTTTTATAACATGACTTCTGAGCATATAAACTTTCTTATTTGCTCTGATAATTTGTAATTGAGAATAGCCTTGGTATATATTTAAATATCCAGGTCTCCTTGATAAAGTACTTTCAGAAATTAGTAGAGGTTAATTACTTAAATCTTGGTGTTTAAATTTTTTTTTTTTAAATTAAGAACATAGTTCACTCTGAAATCATGTATACATACATATGTATTTGTTGTTAAGTGCTGTTGAGTTGGTTCTGACTTACAGCAACCCTGTATGGTGTTTCTGAGGGTTGGCTGGTAGGTTTGCAATGCCAACCTTGTGGTTCAAACTGACCTTTGGTCCAATAGTTAGTCTATAGCATCATACCAGTACTCCACATATATGTTGTTGTTAAGTGTCTTCTAGCTGGTTCCGACTCATAGCGACCTTGCACAGGGTTTCCAAGGAGCAGCTGGTAGGTTTGATTAAAAATTACATTTAATTAAAACATTAAAAATATTTAATTATATTTCAGTCGAAGTTTACACAGCAAAAGTTCCTATTTAACAATTACTACACTCATTGTTTAGAGTCCTGGCATGGCGCTATGGGTTAATGTGCTGGACTACTAAATCAGTTTGAACTGCAAGGTTGGCGGTTCAAGCTTTCTAGCCGTTCCTTGGAAACCCTATACAGGGTTGCGATGAGTTGGAACTGACTCTACAGCACTTAACAACAATAACAACAACACATGTTATTTTACGTTAGTTACGTTTTTCAGATTGTGTCAACATTCTCATTCATTCCATTCTGATGTTTTGTTTCCAGTAATCCGGTTTCCCTGTCCCCTTACCCTTTTGTCTTTGCTTTAGAGTAATTGCATTTGGTGTTACCTACATGAGTTTTAAAGGTGTACAATACTCACTAAGCCAATTTGTTAGTTAGCTAAAAGGTAACTTCAGGGAGTAGTTTCTGTTCAATCTTTAAAAGTATCTCAGGGAAGTAGTCCTGTGGAACCCTCTACTCTCAACTGGTCTAGTAAGTCTGGACTTTCTAAAAATTTGATTTCAGTCTCACATTTCTTTCCCCTTTTCGGTCTTTTGGTTTCTGAGTAGATGAGGCTGTGATTCATATGGAATATTAGTCCTGCAGGCTAATTTCTTCTCTGAGTCTCCTTTTTTCTATTATGTTCCTGAGAAGCAGAGACTAATAGTTGTATCTCCTTTATTTTTTTCTTATAAATGATACTAAGTGAGGTCAGAATAGTGAATGAAAAATAAGTCGAAAGTGTCCATCCTAATAAAATAAACTTAGCAGCCATATTTCAGGTCTAATTTTAAGATAAAAAATATTTTGTCAAATTATTTTCTGAGTTGCATATCCATGTAATTAATAAAATAATCATATCTTGGTTTCACTCACTTCCTATACTTGAAATTTCTTTTTAGTTTGATAGCTTTAAATTGTAATTTAACTGATAATTGACCTTCTATTTCAGACTTTTATAAATAGTTGTTTTGCAAAGTATTTCAGGGAAATGTAATAACCAAATCAGAATTGGTGTGGCACAAAAGTATCTGCCCACATTATATATTTTATTCTAAAGACATTTCACTTTTGAAATAGAAAAGGCAATTCTGTACTTGTAATCACATGACATCTGGAGACTCAGAAGTGATGGCTCTCCTATCAGCAGAATGAGGGAGATAAATGCAAGCTTTTAAACCAGTAATCTTCTTGTGAGTTGCTGTCGAGTCAGCCCCCAGATCATGCATGGCAAAATGTAATCTGCTGTGGTCTATGACGTTTTCATTAGAAGATTTTCAGAAATAGATCACTTGGCTTTTCTTCTTAGTCCATATTCGTATGGAAGCTATTTTAGAACCACTTCAGCATCATAGCAACATGTAAGCCTCCCTTGGTATATAGGTGTATGGGGACGGCATGAGGATCATTGGCCGGGAATTAATCCTTGTCTTCTATGTGGAAGGTGAGAATCTATCACTGAACATCCAAGAGATCTGACTTTTTGGTTTATTCTTTTTTTTTTTTTTTCAATTTTAGGTTTGGCCTTTGCTTCAGGTTTAGCAGCTACCATGACTATCACTCATCTTTTAAAAGCAGGAGACCAAATTATTTGTATGGATGATGTATATGGAGGTAGGTGATTCATTTTGTTCATGTCATGTCAACTAATTTTGATGAAAATAAAGTGAGTCCTGAGTTATGTTGTTTATGTTGCCTATATCACTAGTTGTTTATTATCTTTTAAAAATGTGAGAATTTTTAAAATTATCACACAGCACTACTTCAGTGCTGGCTCAGACTTGGTAAAGAAAGAACATAAATACTTAGGATGCGTGCTTATATTAAGAGATAGCTTAACAAATATTTCATTAAAAATGCTTCTGGGATCAGGGTATAGGATTTAATCAACTTTAAGACACTTTCTACTCTAGAGGAGACAGTGTTTATAAGAGAATTATTACTGTTTAGTGCCGTTGAGTCAGTTCCGACTTGTAGCGACCCTGTATAGGTTTCCAAGAAGCAGCTGCTGAGTTTGAATTGCCAACCTTATGATTCAAACCAGCCTAATGGCCGAGTGAGAGTATTTAAAAAATTTTATCTGCACTTAAGGTGAACTAGAACATAGGTCATTCTTAAAAAGCTTAACCCTGCTTGCTTTTCATTCATGCATTCATTCATTTAATTTTTTCTTCAAGAAAACTTTTGAACATTTACTGAAAGCTCTGGGCCCCTTTCTTTGAAAATTATACTTAATGCTTTATATTTAACACTGTCATTTAATTTCAGGGCTCTCATAGATTGACACCTTGAAACCCATCATTACTATAAATTTCAGGGCTTCCTTTCTAAAGAGCTTAAATGTGAATTATTTAGAATGGTGAGTAGAGAAGAAAACAGGCTTGCACTTATCTTTAAGCAAGATTGAGTTTCATGTTCAAAACAACAAAGAATTTTCTCGTGGTTAAGTGCCATCCTGTCAGTTCCGACTAATAGCGACCCAGTATGGGATTTCTGAGGAGTGGCTGGTGGATTTGAACCACCAACCTTGTGGTTATCCTACAATGCCACACCAGTACTCAATAATTTTGTAAATATCCATATGTAGTCCAAACTCTCCCCAATAATAAAAATGTGTCATTTTGCTGTTAGTTAGTTTGCCGTGGAGTTAGTTCCAACTCATATCTATCCTGTGTAGAGTTTTCAAGGCTATAAATCTGTATGGGAGCAGAAATACTGATGTTTCTCCTTTGGAGATGTAATTATAATTTTAAATATGGGGGGGCTTCAAAAAGTTCATGAAAAAAATTCTATTGTCTTTTAATTACATTTTTCCACAAACTCTTTGAAGCTCCCTCAGATTTTCTATCTGAACAAAAAATTAAATCTGTAAGTTTTTTTGACTCACTTTTATTAATCTTTTTGGCTCTCAGAAATTTGCATGTATTTTGTACTTTAATTTAGTTCTTTTTACTAATTTGTTAAATTGAAATGATAAAACTTTAGTTTATCTTTAACCTTTAGTTGCTTTGAACCAACAACGTGCATTATGAAAACTTCATGGCAGCCATTGGTACAAAATCCTGAATATTGCTGTTGGTTTTTCTTAAAAACTTTATTTTGAATTGAAGGTTTACAGAGTAAATCAGTTTTCCATTCAACAATACATATGCGTTTTGTTTCATGTCATTGATTGCAATCCCCACAGTGTAATATCCTTCATCCCATTTTCTTCTACTTTCTCAACTCTTCCTGCCTTCTGAACTTTGTCCTTGGACAAATGCTGCCCTTTTGATCTTGAGTGGTTTAGTGTTCTACTGCTGTTAATTTTTAGCTATTCTTTATATTTATTATCAGATCTCATATTAACTAGGGTTAGTCTGTTGTTATTGCTTTGTATACGGCTGAGTTGATTCCAACCCATAGCAACCCTATATAGGGTTTCCCAGAGTAGCTGGTGGGTCTGAACTGATGGCCTTCAGTGCTTTTCCTACAGTGCCACCACAAAGCTCAATGCTACTTCTTTCTCCTGCAGAATGATTGGTGGATTTGAACTGCTGAACTTCTGGTTAGTTTCCCAGAACATAACCTACTATGCCACCAGGGCACTTAGGGAAGGTTGATATTTTAACCAAAAGCACTCAATAATCAGAGATATGCTGGACTTTTGATGTTAAGTAGGGTTGGTTGACACAAAATCAAAAGTCCTACTTTTTTTTTTTTTTAATGTTTTATTGTTAATTATGTGATAGTTTACATGGGAGAACATTAGCTTTACAGTCATCCTAACTTATATCATTTCATTGCCATGGTTATAATTCCCTCCGTGCTTCATCAACCAGCCAAAGGGTATACCCTGCAAGCCTTCTCCCCGGTCGGTTGTCAGCACACAGCCCCTCTCCCTGTCTGGGTCTAGAGTCCCCAGCCGTTCCCTCTCTCCACATCATCGTCTCTTCCTCCATCTCTGGCATCACTGCTACTCTGGGCAGGATCCCGCATGCCGCTCTTCTCCCTTGATGGTCCCAGGGACCTCCGCTCCTAAACTGCAAAGTCAATCACTCCCCTCATTTTGCTACAAAATGTCTACCTTTACATTTCCAACCCTCACAGTCAGCCCTGATACAATCATTCTCTATTGTACCACATGAGTGCTGTCCCCATCTCCTTTCATCAGCCCTGCCCAGACAGATTGGATACTACTCCATGGAGATTCTACCTCCCTTCATGCCCTCTGGATCTAGGCTCCCTCTTGAAAGCTTGTAAGCTAGTCACGTTTTGCCGTTGTAGCCTCGCATCTTGGGTAGCCAATGTCCAAGTTGCCTCTCCTTTGTCTACTCTGTGTATATCAAGGGAGTGGGAATAATCCTTGCTGTAAAGGTTTGTTCCCCTTTTTGAGCTACTGCATCTATAGATGTAGGTCAAGTTCATCAAATTGTATCAGATTACTCTTTATTTCCCCTCTTTTTTCTTCTTCTAGTTGAATTCTGATCATCCAGCCATTGAAGCAGGTCAAGTGGGTATTATCTGTAAGTGTGGGTATTCTTGTGCATATGGCCTCTCTTCTTATCAGCTGGACGCTTCACTCTCCACTCTAGTCCTCTGTGGCTATGTCACTGACTCTAGGCCTAGGAGTTCCCAGGTCTTGCCACACTGCTGGCCAACCAGGTCTCCACCCGGGTTCACAGTAGTCTATTGAACGTGGTAGGGCTTAGCTCGCGGCTTCATTGCTGTTTTTCCCTCACTTCCCCTTATCGGTGATGAAGGTGGTCACCAGTCAGAGCTCATGTCTGCTCATGTATTCCCATTGAATCTTAGCCTTGGAAGGGGGTTTGCCCTGAGGGGACCCAATCACTTGCCTTGATATCTCCTGGGAAAAGTCCTGCATATTTTTGATTACTGAATTTTTTGGTTGAATTACCAATAACAATTTTCTCTTTAAATTTGTATATATAAAAAATTGAATCCAAAACAATGTGTACAAAACATATTATTCTAAGTTGAGCGATTTATCTTATTTTGGGTTAAAAATCTAGTAGTTTAATTTTATCTATGAAAGCTTTCAGAGCCACATAACAAAAAGATTGAGAAAGTACAAAGGAGATGTAACGAATTCTTTTTTAGTATCAGAAGTGTATGCAGAATGAAAAGTTATTTTGAACCAAATAGACATTGGTTCATTTATTTTAGATTTGGAACTAGAAGAAATTGTTAACAAAGTCATTCATATTTCAGGGAGTTTGGTACATAATGTTTGCATAGTTGAGATTATGTGTTGTTAAGAAACATTTTCTGGGTCTGCTGGGACTGCAGTAGAGAGCAGGTGCTCTTTTCTTCTAGGCTCACTGAGGGTGCTGTGTGTTCTGGGGAGGCTGTTGTGACAAAGAGTGTCCCCCACTTAGGGCCTTGTGTGTCTGATTCGATGTCAGTGTTAAGTTGATTTTACAGAATTAACAGGTCTTCAAGAAATTTTTTGTTTTTTAATATTTTATTGTGAATTATATGATAGTTTACATGAGAGAACTTTAGTTTTACATTCATTCCATCGTATATCATTTCATTGCCATGGTTCCAATCCCCTCCATGTATCATCAACTGACCAAAGGGTATATCCTAGAAACCCGCCCCCTACACTTCCCCCTCCCTGCCCAGTCTTCGACCCACCCTCTCCCTCTCTGGATCCAAAGTCCCCAGCTGCTTCAACACTCCACATCATTGTCTCTGTCTCTATCTCAGGCATCTCTGCTTCTCTGGGTAGGGTCCCACTCTCGGCTCTTCTCCGTTGATGGTCCTAGAGACCTCTGTCCCTAGACTGGAGAATTAATCACTCCCTTTCTTGCTACAAAACGTCTACCTTTGCATTTCCAACCCTCATAATCAGTCCTGATAACCATTATTCACTGCAGTATCATGAGTTACCCATCTGTATTTCATTTCATCAGCTCCACCTAGACAGTTTGGATAGTACTCACTGGAGATTCTGCCTTCCTCCATGCCCCCCTAGCTCTAGGTTCCCTCTTGAAAGCTTGTAAGCCAGTCACTTCTTGCCTTTGTAGTTCCCTCCTCTCCATTTGGGTATCCAATGTCCAAGTTGCCCATCCCTGTCTACTCTGTTATGAAGGGGGTGGGAATGATCCCTGCTGTAAGGATTCGTTCCTTCTTTTGAGTGACTTCATCCGTAGGTATAGGTCAAGTTCATCAGATTGTATCAGCTCACTCTTTGTTTTTCCTCTTCTTTCTTCTCCTGGTTGAGCTCTGATCATCCAGTCATCTGGTCCAGGTCATGTGGGTACCATCTGTAAGTGTGGGCATTCTTGTGCACATGCCCTCTCTTCCCATCAGCTGGTAGCTCCACTCTCCATTCGAGTCCTCTGTGGCCACACCACTGACTCTGGGTCCAAGGGTCCCCAGGTCTCCTCACACTGCTTATCAACCAGGTCCCCAAATGGGTCCACAGAAGCCCACTGAACATTGTAAGGCTTAACTTGCCACTTCATTGCTGCTTTTACTCCACTTCCCCCTACCGGTGATGCGAAGAAATTTTTTTAAAAGGGTCATTATTGCTGTTGTTTGATCTCAGTGTGGCTGTAGTTATCCGTTTACTGGGGCTTCCTTTGATTACAGTGTCTTTGCATATTAGCCACTTTTTCTGAGAATTGACTATTATTGATGGAGGAGTATGTATAATTGGAGGAGAAAACGGGGGAAGCTTTAATTATTTTTGCAACAGATGAAGATACAGGTGTGCTACAAGTCGTTCTGGAGAATTTATCAAGGATTCATTTGTAGAGCTCTTTCTTTGTTGTTAAGTGCTGTCGAGTCAGTTTCAACTCATAACTACCCTGTATAGGGTTTCTGAGGAGCAGCTGGTGGATTTGAACTGTTTACCTTGTGGTTCACAGTCCAGTGCTGATCCTACAGTACTACATCAGTGTTCTGCAGAAGACTAGAGATGAAAGAAACTGATTGCACAGGAAGAGAGTGACCTGGATCTGGGGAACCAGGGACTGGCAGTCTTTATAATTTTTGTGGGGTTGTTAAGGAAGAAGCAAGTAATTCTGTATATCAAGATGCTGAGTTTCACACTAATGGTATAAAATGTGGTGATTTAAAGCCAAGGACACGACCAGCGAGAGCCAAAAATCCTTACTTATTTCACCCGGTTTGCCTTACTTAGTAAATGAAGATGACATAGGTGTGTTTTTCACTGGTTTGTGTGTGAATGGAGTAGTTGTCTTTAAACATCACGATGGTTGAAATAATGGTGACAACACCATTAAATTTTGCTTCATGTATTGATGCTTCAGGAGATCTTAAATATCATAGAAGTTTTATGGGTTCAAGGTTTAGAGAAGTAATGCAGAGCTGAGATCAACAGTGGACTCAGTTTGTTAGTAAGGTATATGAAATTCCTTCTGAAGAACATTCTCCACCAAAAGTAATTGGTAGATGTCTTAAAAAATGATCACATTTAAGATCTCCCAGAAGAATTTGTTCTCATTACCTAAAAGGCTACTCTGGCCAGAAAGTATGCATTTATATAAGAAAATTTCCATTTAATGTCATAAAAATTGAAGTGCAAAAGTTCTTTGCAGACTTTTTACATTTGGAGGATGATATTTACTTGCTTTAGGATGACAAAGGTTTGAGAGAAGCATTGGTGAAATTTAGATCAGAAGAACAAACCAAACTGAATTTTTTAAACTGGTAGAGATTCTTGGGGACAGAGGTATTGCTGAGACTTATATTTGAGGCACAAATGCCTCAGATATAAGTATGGTGATATAAGTATAAATATATAAGCATGAAGTATGGTGAAAAAATGCAAGACAGTTCACAGGCACATGATAGTCAAATTCCCATTTATTTGACTTTTAAGAGCCACCAGTATATTCAGTTGGTTCTTCTGTAAACTTCAGGCATCAGCTAGAGGACACAGAGATTTCAGACAGCCTTAAAGGCACTCGCCAGAAGACTTCAGGCATTCCCCAGAGGACTTTAGGCGCCCCCTCAGAGGATTTCAGGCACTCAGAAGACTTCAGGCACCCCAGAGAAGAGCACTACAGGCAACCTCTGAAAGCAACTTCAATCATGCTAGGGAGGAAGACTGGAGACAGCCTCTTGAGGAGGACCGGAGGCCAGTTAAGGAGGATTTCATGCATCTTCCCAAAAAGGACTGGAGACAACCCTCTGAGGGAGAATTTAGGTGACCATCTGATAAGGACTGGAGGTGAGCCACCCTATGAGGCATCTGGTGACACCCTGAGGAGGATTTCAGGCAGCCTCTCTGAAGCATACTTAAGGCATTTCCCTGAGGAAGACTTTAGGTGATCTTTGAGGAGCAAATCAAACAGTTGCCCTAGAAGCATTTCTGGCAGCCACACCAGGAGCATTTCCTGTGGCCATCCCAGGAGTGTTTCAGATGACTGCCTCAGAGCCTCAGAGCACTTCCATTGGCCACACCAGGAGTGTTTCTGGAGCACCTGAGAGGAAGATTTGAGGCATCCACTTCAGGAAGACTGGGGCCCTCCCAATGAAGATTTTAGGCATCCTCCTGATGAAGACTTAAGGCAGCACCTTGAAAACCTAAGGGAGGGAAGCTCTAGAGGATGACCCTCAATTTTTCTGGTAAATTTAGACCTCTTGGTGAGGAGTGTAGGAGCCCATCTGATGATTTTAGAGGTCGTCACTCTTTCAGGAGTTTTAGTTACCCAGAAGGTGATAAGTTTGGTTTTGCAAAGTGTAATGTGGGGGATTTTCTGAGGGAATATTTATACCTGATCCAAAATTGAGTTGTGGTTCAGAAAGAGTAAACCCTATTAAGGTCATGAACTTCTATTTAAAGCCAATGTTAATGAAATTTTAGACGTTTTTCATGGTTATAAAGACACCCCAGATTCTGTTTTAAGACAGTATAATGAGAAAGGATTGTCTATAGGGGAAGCCATTGTTACTGTGATCAATTAAAATGAAGGTATGGTCTAAATGATAGGCTAGTTGGCCCATGCTAAATTAAGTTGATTTTCCTCTAAAGAGCATTTCTAAACTCAGCGATACCTTCCAAGAGTATTGATGCAACAAAATGCATTTATTAAAAGTGTTTATTTTTAATTATCTAAGGAAAAGAAACATTTTAATTTGACCTGCAAACAGAATACATGTAAATTTGTTGTTAAGTGCCGATGAGTTGATTCTGACTCATAGTGACCCTGTATAGGGTATCTGAGGAGTGGCTGGTGAGCTTGAACCGCCGACCTTGATTCAAACCGACCTCGCAGTTCAGCTCAGTAATCCACAGTGCCACACCAGGACTCCAGTAACACAATGTTCTTCAAGCTGGAAATGAACCAGCAACCTAAGGATGTAAATAGTACATGTAAATAGTAGAGTGTTTATCTGATTTTCTTTTGCTTGTGATTTCCCATTCACTTTTGCCCATTTAAAATTACATCTGCTTTTCTTAGATAGTGGGAGAACTAATTTCTTGAGTTCATTGTTGTTTCATGTGTTGAATAAACCTCAAGATTTGTATAGAGTTGTATTTGGAGAAGCTAGATTTTATATTCACTTTTGTTTCCATTCTGTATTCTCTGTGCCGGTTTGTGTGGGTATTAAGTTTGTTTTCTTAGATGCTTGAACCTTAAGTTTAAAATCCAAAGTTTGTATTATTACTATGCAAGACAGCCAAACTGTTTAACCAAATTAAAATTGCATTTAGTTATATTTTATTGGACATTGAGAATTCCTCATATATTTAAAATGTTTATACCTATCAGGAATAAACCTTTTTTAATATGGTACACTGTTCTATATTTTATCTGATTGTCTTCTATCTCAGGTACCAACAGATACTTCAGGAAGGTGGCAAATGAATTTGGATTGAAGATTTCTTTTGTTGATTGTTCCAAAACCAAATTGCTAGAGGCAGCAATTACACCTGAAACCAAGGTACGCAGTTAATTTTCAGGTTTGTCTGTTTTCCCTGTAATGCTTTGTTTTCACCATTCCTGCTTACTATAAGGTGTAATTAAAATCTGAATAACACATCTTATTGAAAGCCACTGGAACCATTCAACAAAATTAAGATAGATCTGGCTTCTGCCAGGCAGTAAAACCTAATTGTAAAGCAGTTGAATTCTGGTATAGGATGTAAATCTCAATTCTATATCATACTTGGTATGTCATCTTGGAAAAATTATTTAACCAAAGTCCCAGTTTCTTCATCTGAAGAACAGGTATTATCTTACTTGATTGTAGGAATGTAGTTGTAAAAATTAAATGTGATAATGTATATAAAAGGAGATGTTGTTGTTAAGTACTGTGGAGTCAATTCTGACTCATAGTGACCCTATACAGGGTTTCCAAGGCTGTAAATCTTTACAGGAGCAGACCACCGTACTGTGGAGTCAGTTCCGACTCATAGTGACCCTATACAGGGTTTCCAAGGCTGTAAATCTTTACAGGAGCAGACCACCGTACTGTGGAGTCAGTTCCGACTCATAGTGACCCTATACAGGGTTTCCAAGGCTGTAAATCTTTACAGGAGCAGACCGCCTCATCTTTCTCCCGCAGAACAGCTGGTAGTTTCAAACTGCCGACCTTGAGGTTAGCAGCCCGATTCGTAACCACTACGCTACCAGAGCTCCTTATATAAAAGGAGATGATGGGTATAAAATGCTTAGTGTATACTACCTGATCCATGTTAATTGACAGAACATTTGTTAGCAAAGAGAATGCAACTTTTAACTGGTATTGGTAAGCAGCAGTCATTCCAGAGATAGGTTACAGGAAAGGAAGCTTGCCAAGCCCCCAAACCCTACACATAATAGTAGCCTTTTAAGATCTCTAAGGAACACGTCATCAAAAAAGAGTTAGAAGTAAAGAATGGAGCACAAGCATTCTTTAGCCAGCGATCTCTTCTAGTCACCATCCTGGGAAGCATGTATGTCACTGGAAGGTGTTTTGTGTCTCAGTGAATGGCACATGTGATATTCTTTCTTGAGACTTCATTTAAATTCTGAATGTGTACAGGAAAGGACCAGTGTCTTTTATAAGGCAGCCTTTTCCAGCTTCTCACTAATGATTAAGAGGTTTGAATTGTACTAAAATTTTTGCTGCAGTGGATATTAAAATATGAAAAATCTTTTTGAGCATAAATAATTACTTTGGATATTAACACAGAGGTGAGCTTTGGGTGGTTCAAGTTTATTTTCCAAGTAACTTGTTGTTTATCATGCTTGAGGGGAAAAGACATTTATTAAAATAGCTGGTCTGAATGTAGGAGGCAAGCAAACATTAAGCCTTGTTAACAGGTCTTTATATTGTAGCTCTTTACTGACTTGAATTAATATTCTTGGAATATCTGGCTCCTCACATGAAGTAGAATTTTCAAAAGTCTGTGTAAACCTTTTTTTGTATTTTTATTATTTATTTATTGTCAGTGGCATTAATACATTGTTGTTATGTGCCGTGGAGTCAGTTCTGACTCATAGTGACCCTGTACAGGGTTTCTGACGCTGTAAATCTTTACGGGAGCAGAAAGCCTCATCTTTCTCCCGTGGAACAACTGGTAGTTTCAAACTGCTGACCCTAAGGTTCACAGCCCAATTCATAACCACTACGCTACCAGAGCTCCTTAATACATTCTTACCCAGGCATACTTTTGGTGCATACTTTAAATAAGTCAAGATATTTGTAGAATATGCATTATTTTAACTACCTTTCTTTTCTACAGTATAACAGAGTAGCAACAGAGTATTAAAGCCAAACGCTTGCCCGTTTATATAACTAATGTTGTTGTTAAGTGCTGTATAGGGTTCTCGAGGAGCACCTGGTGAATTTGACCCTCTGATCTTGTGGTTAGCAGGCCAGTGTTATCTTACAGTCCCACGCCAGGAGTCTCTATAGCTAATACAGAAATAATAATAGTAAATCAGTCCTTTTCAAAAGAAATATGTAGATGAAGTAATTTAATACAGGGACATCTTGCTTACCAATATAATTTTCTCTTTTTCTTTATTCTTTTCAATAACTGTCAAGTCCCAGCTATATGCCAGAACTGTGCTAGGTTTGGGGAATAGGTAGAAAAATATTATGCAATCCTTTTCTTAGATGAACTGTAGCCAGGTTTTCTTTTGTGGGTTTCACTTCTCTTCTTTACTCTAAAACATCTGCTCTTCCTCAAATCTCAAGTATAATATTTAAGTGTCTAGTACATCAGGAGTCCTGGGGCAGCATTGTAGAATAAGCACTGGATTGCTAACCACAAGGTTGGCAGTTCAAACCCACCAGAAATTCCTTGGAAACCCTATACAGGGTCTCTGTGAGTCAGAACCGACTCAATGGCACTTAACAACAGTATATCAGAAAGGAGCTCTGGGAGGTACAGTGTGCTAAGCATTGGACTGTCAACCACAAAAGTTCAGCAGTTCAAATCTACCTGGTGCTCTATAGGAGAAAGATGAAACTCCCTGCTCTCATAAAGCTTACAGTCTCACAAACCCTAGAGAGCAGTTCTTTACTGTCCTGTAGGGTCACTCTGAATACAGGTTTACTCTATGGCAGGGGATTAATAATACATCAGAAAGGGACCCTGATGATACAGTTTTTACGGCGATTAACTGCTAACTGAAAGGCTGGTGGTTTGAACAGCAGCCAATTTGTGGGAGAAAGATGTAGTCTGCTTCTATAAAAACTGTAGCTTTGGAAATCCTGTGGGACAGTTCTAGTCTGTCTTGTTGAGTTACTCACTATGAGTCAGAATCTACTCGAAGGCAGTGGGTTCAGTTTTATTACATCAGAAAGGAGCCCCGGTTGTACAATGGTAAAACATTCAGCTGCTAACCAAAAGGATGGTCGTTTGAACCCACCAGTAGCTCCACAGAAGAAAAGATCTGGTGATCTGGTTCCATATAAAGACTTGAAGCTACTCTGTGAGATAATTCAACTCTGTTATGTTGGGTAGTTATGAGTTGAAATCATCTTAATAGCATGCAACAACAACACAATACCTCAGAATTACTGGTTATTATCAATGATATTTTTGTCATCTTTTTAAATAGACTTAAAGGGATAATTCTATTTAATAAAAACTCTAGGATGTATCTTTATATCATCTGTGATATTTGGCTGTGAGGACAAAATTCCAGAACCTGAAATATATCTTTGGAGTACATCCTGTTTATTATGAAAAAGAATGATAATAATCAACTTTAGCACTTTTTTGCTTATATGTATGTTATCGCCTTTGTTCCTTATAATAACGGTATAAAGTAAATGTAGCTCCCAAGTTGTTGAAATATATGGGCATATGTTTTTAGAAGCTATTGTTATGTGCTGAATTATTTTTAGCTTGTTTGGATTGAAACCCCCACAAACCCGAACTTGAAGATGATTGATATCGAAGCCTGTGCACACACCATCCATAAACATGGAGATATTATTATGGTCGTGGATAACACTTTTATGTCAGCATACTTCCAAGTAAGTGAGAATAATCTGGAGGGGGGGCATGATTGGTAGACTACACCGATACTATATTACATGTAATCTAATCATAATTATTAATGAGACATAATTAAATTTGCATCTTTTTTATAATTAGTTAATACCATTTTTGTTGCTGTTGTGAAGTGCTATAGAGTCAGTTCTTACTTATAGAGACTTTGTATAGGGTTCCTGAGGTGTGGCTGGTGAGTTTGAACTACCAACCTTGTGGTTCAAACCTACCTTGAGGTCAAGTGCTTATTCTAAGACGTCACACCAAGACTCCATTATTGTTTTAGTCATATGTTAATGTTTTGTATGATATTTTTTGTTTTTTAAATGTTCTCTAAATTAAAGCTTTCAGGTTCTCTTAGGAGGTATAGTTTCTGAAGACATGACCTTATTATGTGACGGTATCTTCCAATGCCTTACAAATACTAGGGATTTGAATGCTTATATATTGGTTAAAATCAGTCATAAATTTTTTTAATTCTACAACACTTAACAACAACAATCTATAACATATAATGCATATTATTGTTGTTAAGTGCTGTCGCATTGGTTTTGACTCATAGTGACCCTGTATAGGATTTCTGATGAGAAGCTGGGGGGTTTGAATTTCTAACATTATATTTTGCAGTCCAGTGATGACCCTACAGTGCCACGCCAGGAGTCCATATGTATATGAGATGTGATTAAAAAACAATATGACTGATTTTAACCAATACACACGAATTGAAATCCCTAGCATTTATAAGGCATTGGCAGATGCAATCACATAATAAGGTCATATATATATGGAGTGCTGGTTTGGCACTGCTTGTTGATGGCACTGGACCACAAGGTTGGTATGAACCACAAGGTCCTCAGAAACTGTATACAGGATTGCTATGAGTTAGAACCAATTCGACGGCACTTAACCACAACCCTGTATAGGGCAAAAACCTGTCAGGAAAGGAAAACTCAAATAATTTCCTCTAAAATGAGCGATAGAAAAATGGTAAGATTGCATCCTGTCCTGGTGTGGTGCTGTGGGTTAATGTACTGGACTACAAAGTTTTTTTGAATAGCAAGGTTGGAACAACAAAGTCAGAAGACTTGGCAAGACCCGATAAAACAAGGCAGTCCTGTAGAATTTTGGCTCTCACAGGTTTCATTGTAGATATATCTTTTCCTACCTCTCTGCCCTGACCCTCCCATACATCCTTGATTCCTTCCTTTTTTTCTGATTCTTAGTCCTTACTGTTTTTCTCCTTTTGGTGGATTGTTTTGGGATCTCTCCCTAGCTGACCTGATTACCTTTTCCTGCATGTTTTTCCTCCTTCTCCTATTCAGCCTAATCCTTTGTTTCCTTTCCTTGCTAGAATTATTTTCTTCCAACCTGTACCTTGTATTCTTATTTCACTTCCTGTAGTTAATCTTCAGACTTCCTGAAGCTCTAGCTCCTCTTTTCCAGTTCTTCAATTAGCTAGATGTTTACAAGCTCATTTGTTTACATTTCCCCCTTCTGTTATGGGTCCTGAAGTTACCCAAGCGGCTGCTTCCCTATGACTGGGGCAGACTCCATGGCAGTTTGGATAATCCTGTTCTTTACTGTCTTCCATTTTATTTATAAAGGAGCTCTGGTAGCGTAGTGGTTACAAATCGGACTGCTAACCTCAAGGTCGGCAGTTCAAAACTATAAGCTGTTCCGCAGGAGAAAGACGAGGCTTTCTGCTCTTGTAAAGATGTACAGCCTTGGAAACCCTGTGCAGGGTCACTATGAGTCGGAACTGACTCCACGGTACTTAACAACAACAACAACCATGTTTTATTTTCCTTGCCTGAAACACAGTTCCTGATTATATATTATATTCAGAAGCTTCACTAGCCACCTACCTGTGACGTATCTTTACCTGCTACTTATATCAGGTAAAGCAATATGTTTCTTAGTGAAAATCCTCTGGCATCATATATTTGTTCCAGGTGATTTTCACTCTAGGATTTTTTATTCAAACTCCAAAACCCATGTCCTATTTACATTGTGCCAGCTCATATATAAAAGGATCTCTTTAGCTGAGTCACAGTGAGTCGTATATCTTCCCAAAGAGAACACATGATTTTTCTTAGCCTGGGTATACCCAGGTTACTCATCAGGCCTGGCCCTCTTTCTCCTGTTGCCATCACGAAAATACGGTCTTTTTTTTTTTTTTTTTTTTCTTTCTAAAGCCCACATCACATTCCTTATGCCAGGTATTGGAATTTACTTCACTACAGTTTAAATTTATTCCAGCTGAATTAATCAGAACCTTACCGTCCTTGGTAACCACTTGTCTGTATTCGCTATTGGGTTCACAAAGCAATACTCTAAAAGGTCCTCTCTTTGTCTTACTCTCTTAAAAACTGACTATATCCTCTTTCTTTCTTGCCTTTGTCTTCTGGACTTATGTAAGTCTCACAAAAGAAAAAAAGGGCTATACTAGTGTAAAGTTTCTGAGGGAAGTCTTGAGCCAGACAGTCTGGATGTGAATCCTATCTCTATCAGCCTGTAAATCTAAATGAACAGTACATTTTTCATAGTCTTCTTTTCTGACCTATACTAGGAGAGTCATAAAAATATTGATTTCATTGGTGGCAAATTATTTGTATAGTGCTTCACTGGGTTATACAAAAGTATAACCCAGTTCTTGGCACGCACACGTATCAGTAGATGTTCACTATCAAGGTTCTCCCACACTTCTCTTTGGTCATATGAAATTTTAGAGCATGAAGATACTTTAGACATCATCTAGTTTGACCCCAGAGATAAGCAAACACCTATATAGAGAGCACTTAGGGCAATACTTTACTTAAAATGTCCTGTGAAAAGGTCCTATAGGCCTCCTACACTAATACCTTCCAGAGACTTCTAGAAACTCTTTTAGTGTGTGTGCTTTCAAAAACTTCTAAACACTACACAGGTAGACACATACAATTTCATTCTTTGAAAAGAATTTCTTTATAAGTGACTTTACATTTGGCAAAATTATTATAATTGAGAGTCAAGATCTTGGTAAAAAAAGTGTGACTTATCACAACATATTAGGTTTAAATGACTAAAAATCGAAGTAGATTAGTTTTATACTTACTAGCATAAGAATTCTTGAATGCTTATGTAAAATATTTTATGTGTTTAATGATTCATAAAATGCTTATGTGTCTGCATTTTAATAAATAGGAGGACTCTAAATAAACAGGTTCAGGAGACTTGTTGACCTGAATGATCTATTCTTCCCATACTTGTATCTACTGATTGAATACTGAATCCAGTACTCCATATTTTTATTGGGTGGGATAGAGAAAAGAGAAAGATACTATGAGAGGACCTGGAAATTGTTAAGGTGCATTTCTTTTTCAAAAGTTAGTACTGATTAGAATGAGAATGTAATTTATAATAGCAAATAGGTTAGTTGTTAAGCATATTTTCAAGTGGTTTTTCATTTAAAATAAAAAATCTTTCATCCCTTTCAGCGGCCTTTGTCTTTGGGAGCTGATATTTGCATGTATTCAGCAACAAAATATATGAACGGTATGTTTGGCACAGTTTATACTTTGAAAGTTCTTTTGCATGGACAGGTGAAAATGGTACAGGGCTTGATATTTTGATACTTTTTCTTCTACTATTATTCACATTTTCTCTGAGCCCCCTGTGAAAAGAAATAAAAATTTTGATTAAATATCAGACTTCATTTATAGTAGAGAAAACCTTTCTTGTTATAAGACTAAAATGTAGTATAAACGGTTATATTTTTTAGCAGGATGACAACTTTGAACAAAGCATTTATTTTTTATATGATTTTTATTTTATGTGTTGTTTTTGCTACTAGAAGTTAAAGTAACATGTTTTTAAGTTAAAAAATGAAGTGTAAACATAAATTCATTACTTTTTTTTGCTTTATTTTGTTTCAGGCCACAGTGATGTTGTAATGGGCTTAGTGTCTGTTAATTCTGAGAATCTTCATAATAGGCTCCGTTTCTTGCAAAACTGTAAGTGTAAAAAAAATCTAAATTCCCCCTATGCTCACAAATATCTTTGATACTTTCCTTTTCTCTAAGTATTGTAAAGTGATAGCATTCTAATATTTTGTGGTTTCTTTTGGTAAGTGCTGGTTCTGACTCATTGCAACTCATAGTGAACCTGTGTAGGGTTTCTGAGGAGCAGCTGGTGGGTTTGAACTGCAGACCCTGTAGTTTGCAGTCTAGTGCTGATCCTATATATAGCGCCATACCAGGAGCCCATACTTTGTGAAGAAATGAGAAATAGAAGGAAATAATTCTGATTTTTAGAGGAAATGGAAAACCATTGTTATAGGAATATTCTAGTATAAGCACACTTTTACAGAAGGCTGTATGTCATGAGGAAAGTTACGTTGTTTTCAAATCCTTGTTAAAGTTTTTATTGTGAATTGAGTGAAAGTTTACAGGGCAGATCATCAGTTTTACATTCAACAAATCATACACCTTGTTTCATAAACACTCAGGCATATATAATAATTTACACTACCAAAGGGCAAATTCTGTAAGTCCGCCTCCTGGCCGCCAGCTCTCAGTCCCTCTCTTCCCATGAATCTGGAGTCCTCAGCTGCTCCCTCTCTCCATATTCCCATATCTGTACTATGTCTTTTATATCTATGTTGTTATTAAGTGCTGTTGAGTCAGTTCTTACTCATAGAGAACCTGTATAGGGTTTCTGAGAAACAGCTGGTGGGTTTGAACTTCCAACCTTGCAGTTTAGCAGTTCAGTGCTTAACCCACAGCGCCACACCAGGACTCCATATATGGTTATTATTGTTGTAAAGTGCTGTCGAGTTGATTCGGACCCATAGCGACCCTGTATGGGTTTCCAAGGAACAGCTGGTGAGCTTGAACTGCCGACCTTGCAGTTCAAACTAAACTGCTTTGCAGCCTGGCGCATTAACCCACAAAGCCACATCAGGACTCCATATATGGTAGTTAATTTTAAATAGTAACTAAGGTAAAGGCGTTTTTCAGTAGATACCTAGACACTATTTCCTGCTTTTATTGTGTGGGTTTTCCCAAGTACGGCTAAGGGTTTATTTGAAGAAATTTGCATGACAGATAGGTAAGCTACAAATACAATTAGGAATGCAAATATTCTTTTTGGAAGTCATAGTATTAAAGTAACAAAACAAGACATTGAAGAAAGAAGACACATCATTATAAATGTCATTTTCTCTATAAACTGTAGGAATGGGATGTGTGTGCCTGGAGGCAGGAGAAATCATGACTGCCTCAGTCAAAGGCTAAATAGAATGTTGGATAGAACATTTAGTAACAATGGGAGATTAACTGCTTCTTTTCTTTTTCTATTCTAATATTTTAAAAATAAATCACAGTTAAACTGTGCACTATGTTATTTATTAAAATCACAAATCTGAAGGAACTATTTATGTGTTCATATTTGTAAAGTTCATATCTTTATGCTTGTATTAAAAAACAAAAACAGTTGCTTGTCAAGTTTATTCAGATTTATGACAACCCCATGTGTAGCAGAGTACAACTGTGCTCCGTAATTTTCAATGGCTGATTTTTGGAAGTAAAATGCAAATGTTGTTTGTATTTAGTCTCTTTTGAGCATTTGCATTAATTTCAGTATATTTATTTCCCCTCCCATTTTAAAGCATATTTTTCTATGTGTATTTTATGCTTCATTCTTATGCTTCTGATTATATATATTAATGATTTCTTCTGAAACTCAGACATTAGACTTTGTAACTATTTTCTAAAAATCACGGTGATGAAAAAGAAAGTTCACATTTTTCTGAGTTACCACCTCCCTTAAACTAACTCAGGATGTATTGTTCATTTTGCAGCTATCGGAGCAGTTCCATCTCCTCTTGACTGTTACCTCTGCAATCGAGGTCTAAAGACTCTACAAGTTCGAATGGAAAAGCATTTTGAAAATGGAATGGCAGTTGCTCAGTTTCTGGAATCTAATCCCCTGGTAGAAAAGGTTATTTATCCTGGTATGTTAGCCTGATTTCTAAGCAGATATGCCTTGGACTAGAGTCCTGGTATGGTGCTGCAGGATAATGCACTGAACTGCAAAGTTGGTTTGAACCGTAAGGTGGCTGGTTCAAATTCACTGGGCACTCCTTGGAAACCCTATATAGCGTCCACATGGATCGGAACTGACTCGAGGGCACTTAACAACAACATGACTTGGACTAGGATTTTAAGAATTATTCTATGCATGCTGATTATGTGGCATTTATTTCTAAACTGGGTTGTTTTTGTTGTTAAGTGCCATCGAGTCAGTTCCGACCCATAGTGACCCTGTATAGGGTTTCCAAGGAGCAGCTGGTGAGCTTGAACCGCTGACCTTACAGTTCAAATGGCTTTCCAGTCTGGCGCATTAATCCACAGCGCCACGCCAGGGTTCTGTAAACTGGGTGCTTTGCATTTCATTTATTTTTGAGTACTGCTATATGTCAGGCACTATGATGTATTGAGTAATAAAGAAGATAGGTATGTCTTTGGTCTTGTGTTGTGGTCTAGTGGATGCTTGTTGTTAAGTTGTTACGTGCCTTTGAGTCAGTTCTGACTTGTAGTGACTTTATATAAGGTTTACAAGGAACAACTGGCGGGTTTGAATTTGTGGTTCGCAGTCCAGTGCTTATCCTACAGCATTAGAAAACTAGTCTGTAACTTATATACACCTATTCAAGATTGAAACGTGGTGGTGGTGGTAGTGTGCCGTGGAGTCAGTTCTAAATCATAGCCACCTTGTATAGGGTTTCCGAGGCTGTAAACCTTTACAGGAGCAGAAAGCCTCATCTTTCTCCCGCAGATTGCATTTGATAGTTGATTTGCTTGGAACAATCTTGTCAGTGTGCTATTTTACATTGTTGTTGTTTTTAAGTGCCATCAAGTTGGTTCTGACCCATAGCAACCCTGTATCAGGTTTCTGAGAAGCAGCTGGTGAGTTTGAACCACTGACCTTGCAGTTCAAAGCGACTTTGCAGTCCAGTGCATTAACCCACGGTGCCACACCAGGAGCTGTAACTTTTATCTGGTAAACGTTTGCCCCAAGTTGAGACTTGATATGTGCCGACTAAAATTCTCCTGAAGTTCTCATGTTTTATTTTTTAATTCCTTTACCTCCTCCAGCATCTATTTCTAAATGTGCATGTGGAAAGATCTAGCAGACTAACATGTTAACCTTTGATTTTATTTATTCAGTTCTTTAAACTATAGTAGTCTAAGCAGCTAAGTAAATTACTGTTTTAGTTCCTTTTCGGGTATCTAGCCATGTATTCTTAGGTATATAGGAAAATTGACTCAAAGAACCTAGGTAAACCAAGGCAGAAACACTTAGGCAATTAAATGCACTCTATTTAAAGAGCTGTTGACTTGTATATTTTGAGAGGAGGGAAAAAAAATCAGTTAAAAAAAAAAACTGGGTCCCAAAGAATCAGTAGCATGGTAGAAGGGCATTGCCAAGACATTCCAGATTAATTCAACCAATGTGTCGTACATGTCCATAATGAGATAGACCTGTTTTAGGTACTAGGATTCAATTATTAGCAAAATAAACATACATTTCACCTCATAGAACTTGTCTAATATAATGTTGTTGTTCTTAGGTGCCATTGAGTCAGTAC